CCTAAAACCAGGTTAAGAAAACTGCTGCTGCACATTACCTGTGTGAAAATCCATAGGGAGTGGTGATGCCAGCAGCAGCACAGGATGTGCACCTACAAGCAGCCTGGCATCACTGAGGTCAGGCTGGCCTTGGTGACCCAGGGTTGTTGTACATGATACCAGGGGACACCCTGCCAGCCCCTGCACCACCCAACACAGAGAGAGCCCCCTGCACCCCCCCACCCTACAGAGACATGTTCCTCTCTGACCCCCACCCATGCCTCATTCCCATCCATAGTCCTGTCCCTCTCTTCAGACAGCTGTCTCCCCACAGCCCTCCCCAGCCCCATTTGCTCCACCCCAGCCCCTCCATGAACCTGCAAGATGCTCTTGCAAGACCTGTGGTGGCTCCAGTCTCAGCTTCATGGGGCCTGCCCATACTGGGCCCACTGGGCAGGGCTCAGGTTGGGTCAGGAGAGGAGGTGCTTGTCATTCAGCAGGGGCAGAGACCATGCTGCACTCAGACCACAGGAGTGCTAAGCTCAAGCAAAGGCCCCCTGCCCAGCCTTGCATTTTCCTCAGTGTGCCATGGCCTCCTCACACTCTGCCTTATCCCTGCTTGGCACTTGGGCAGGGGGAATATCTGCTCCTAAAGCTCCCCCCCCAGCTTGTGCCTTCCCTGCCATCTCTAGGCTGCCCACACGACCAACAGGGCTCCCCTCTGCAGTAGCACTTGGCCTACCCTGAAGCTTCCCTTCCTTTGTACCCAGCTAACTGCTCCAACCAGGGTGAACCACCCTGGCACTGCCCCCTGGCATACACATGCACATTGTAGACCTCTCTGTTGAGTTGGACGCCTTTTAGCTTGCACTGCAGTAGCTTTAGTAGGCTTTTAGCTGTGCAAACTGAAAGCAATGCAGAAGTGCTAATCCTATTGTGCTGGAATTTGGATTCAGGAGGAGCAGCAAAAAACTTTCATCCCCTTTCCTCTGCCCACCCTAATAAAAGCACAATGCAATTCATTGCAAGATCCTCTCCAATGAGTGTGTTTTTTCCTCCACCATATGTACAATTTTTCCAGGATGTAACTTTATTATGTCTTATACACAGCTTCTAAATATTTCCATGGGCTAAACTTTTAATATTTGAAACTGAAACAATGTGGTGGCTTTCTAAAACATTCATATTTCCCTCTCCGGAGCTGGAAGTTCTTAAGGACCTAAAATCCCAAGGGATTCACTGCCCCAACCAGGCACATAAGGCTCTCTTCTCCTGATTACCCTACCTGAGACACAGCAGACTCAGTCATCCCTGCCATCTGAGGCAGACAGTTGGATATTAAGACAGGGGAGGGGAGCAGAATACCAGGGCATGCCGAGGGAATGCAGACTCCTGTTGGTCTGTGCCCATGAAATCCCCTGATGTGTTAAAAGTCCCGTTGGTCTGTGCTGCCTGGTCTCCTTGGAAAACCAACCTGAAAACAGGAGAAAGGGGATTGCGGCATCCACACTCCAGGTGCAGGAACACAAACTTTTTTGTTTTTGGAAAATGTTTCGTATTCCAGGTCAAATCAGGCAAATCGGTTCCAAAACCTCTCGATTGAGCAACACTCAATTGTTCAAACACCATATGTGATGGTGCAACCGGCAAGCATCCTCCACCCTAGACATGTCAGCTTGGGGCTTCAGATACTCCCAAACCCATTTGCAGGCATCCTACATGCAGGTCCAAGCCCAAAGGCTTGGGGTTTGGATGCCCGAGTCTCACTTCCCCTTAACCAAAGGCCACAGAGGAACAAGCTGGGGGGGGTCCCCCCATTTTCATCAAGTAGGCATGTAGCCACTGCAAGCTGGCCAGCGGGAAGCCAATTACAAGGCTCCTAGAGTGTCCTGCCTGCAGTGCATTGGGCAGGGGCGCACCCTCCACTACACAATGCCGCTTACATCTATCTCCGCTCGGCGGCGCACTTGATCTTTGCCCACACGAACACTAAAGTCAGTCTTTGGGATCACCAAGTGTACAGGTTTCCTCCGAGCGAGGGCATACTTCAGTCCGAATCATAGGAAATGTGGGTTGCACAGGACCTCGGGGGGTCACATCATGCTGTCCAGCTGCCTGCTCATAGCAGGACCGGCCCAGCATCAGCTCTGGGGCGGATCCCAGGCAAACACTGGTGCAGAGGGGCTGGGGAGGATGTAGCCGCTTTGTGGCTTGCACCCCTGCGTCCCCGAGCACCCTGCCCGCTGCCCCGCAGTGCCCGGGCCGGGGGCGGCCCCTGGCGCTCTCACCCCGCAGCGCTGGCGGGGATGCTGGGCTTCGCGACCCACCCCACCCCCCGCC